TTCGGCGGCGCCGCCGGCGACGGCGCGGCGCTGGGCGGCGCGGCGCAGGTCTTCGACTTCCGGAGCTCGACGTGGGCCGCGGCGGACCTCGGCGCGCGGCCGGGCCCGCGCTGCGGCCACGGCCTCGTGCGGCTCGCGGAGCACGACGAGCGGTCCGTCGTCGCCGTCGGCGGCCACCGCGGCGGCCGGAAGGCGGCCGACGCGACGGCGCTCGACGCGCTCGGCGCGCCCTTTGGGGCCCGCGCGCTGAAGATGGGCCCGGGCGACGCGCCGCCGCCGGGCCACGCGCACGGCTGCGTCGTGCCCATCCGCGACGGCGCGGCGGCCGTCGTCTTCTCCGGCGCGTCGTCGGCGTCGGGCCGCTCCAACGGCACGGTCCGCGTGCTCCAGTTCTCCGCGGAGCGCGAGTCGTGGTCGTGGTTCGAGCCCTTCGTCGTCGGCGACGCGCTCTCGCGGCGCCGCAAGGCCGCGTGCTGCCTGCTCCCGGACGGCAAGTCGGTCCTCGTCCACGGCGGCCTCGGCGACGACGGCGCGGCCCTCGAGGACGCGCGCGTCCTCGACACGGAGCTCTGGGAGTGGGTCCCCGCGCCGACGGCCGCGCGGCACACCTTCGGCGCGCGCGCGGGCCACACGATCTCGCTCCTCGGCGACACGCTCGTCGCCTTCGGCGGCGTCGGCCGCGACAGCAAGAAGCGGGCGGCCCTCGTCCAGGTGCCCGCGGCGGCCTTCGACGCGCGCGGCGTCGGGCCCGCGCTCGAGGAGTCCATCGGCTACTGAGCGACCCGCGCGCCCCGGGGACCAAGCCCTGCGTATAAGAAGCCAGCGCGGCGCGAGCAATCTCGGGCTCGGCGGCAGGGGGGGCGGGGTGCGGCGGCGCCGGGCTTGGGGCTCGAGAATCACTGGAGACTCTGGCGCGGCGGGCCATTTTCAGGAAGTATTCTGGCGCTTCTTGCAACGCGGGTCGGCGCCCGGGGCCGCGCGCGCGAACTCCACGGGCGGGCTCCGCGCGAGCGTCGCGAGGCCGTCCGCCGGAAACGGGCAGTGGCAGTCGAGGCGCCTCTTGTCGCAGCAGGTCGCGACGAGCGGCGGCCCGCGGTCGTCCTCCGGGAAGTGGCGCCAGGTCCAGGACGTGACGTGCACCTGCTCGGACTTGGGCCAGTCCTGGGATGCGAAGAACGCCTCGTTCGCGGCGTACGCCCGTCCCCGGACGGCCGCCGCGACGTTCGCCGGCAAATTCGCCGGCTTGGACTCGTCCGGCCGCGCCTCAAGGTCGAAGATCGTCCGAGGTTTGATTGTTTTGTCGTCGTTCTCGAAGTAGACCTTGTACCGGCCGACGCGCGCGGCGTGGAACGCCGCGTAGCAGCAGTGCCAGACGAGCAAGACCCGCGTCTCGTTCGCCTCCGTTTCGTCGCCGAAGAGCCAGGGCCCTAGATCCTCGCCGTCGAGGACCACCGCGGGGAGCGCCTTCGGCGCGACGAGGTTGACGAACGTCGGCAGCAGGTCGAGCTGCGACGTCAGCCGGTGCGACACGCCCGCTTCGATGACGCCCGGCCACCGCAACAGACCCATGACTCGGTGGCCGCCCTCCCGGGGGCTGAACTTGCCGCCGGCGAAGGGGCCGTTGCTCCGCGTGCGGAAGTTCCTCGTCATCTTCTCCAATTGTCCGTTGTCGCTCGTGACGACGACGAGCGTGTCGTTTCTCACGTTTTCGAAGGCGCCAAGCACGCCGCCGAGCGTCGCGTCGACCTCGGCCATCGTGTCGAGGTAGGCCGCAAAGGGCGACTCGCGCGTCATTTTCGCTGGGGTCCGTTGCCACTCGGGCGCGGGCAGCCACGGCCCGTGCGGCGCGTGCGTGGCCACGTAGACGAAGAAGGGGCGGTACCTGTCGCCGGGCGAGGCCGGCGCGTGGCTCCGCTTGCTCGTCACGCGGTCCACGAAGCCGCGGACGAAGGCTACGTACTTGGCGCCGAGGCGCCAGGGCGCCGCGGGCTGCTCGACGACAAACGCCTCGCAGGAGGTGCGCCCGGCGCACGACGCGTTCGTCCACGTCAGTGGGATGGAGAGCGCGTGGCCCTTCAGGTGTTCCGCGTCGGCGAGTTTGAGCCAGTGCTGCACCGGGTCCTTGGGGAGCGTCAGGCGCCGCGCGTCGGGGCAGGGCACGGGCGGGCACCGCGGGTCGTACTTGCGGTTCAGCTTCGTGAAATCCTGCTTCTTGAAATCGAGGCCCTGCGTGGGCTGGCCGCCGCGCTTACAGAAGCGGTAGAGGTAGTCGGCGTAGTCGCGTTTCAGCTTCGCCGACGGCGCCGACAGCGCCGCGTGCGCGAAGAGTCTTCGTCACGTCCGCACCGTAGGAGCAGGGCCAGGGCTCGAAGCAGCCCATGTCGTGGCTCCAGGGCATGGTCAGCGTCTCGTCGAAGCCGTGGCGGCTCGGGTGGTGCGCGTCGCCGTTGCCGAGGTGCCACTTGCCCGCCATTGCGCTCGCGTAGCCCGCGCCGTCCCGTAAAATCTCGGGCAGCGTCCGCTCCGAGAAGGGCAGCCCGCGGTTGTCGCCGTGGACGAGTACCGCGATGAGGCCGAAGCGCATGCCGAAGCGGCCCGTCAAGAGCGACGCGCGGCTCGGCGTGCAGACGGACGCCGCGGCATGGAAGTCCGTGAGCCGGAGGCTCTCGGCCGCGAGCGCTTCAAAATGCGGCGCGTCGCCGGGCGCGAGCGCCGAGCCCTCGTTCGCACCGAGGTCGCCGTAGCCGGCGTCGTCGAGGTTGAAGATGAGCAAGTTCGGTTTGCCGAGGCCGTAGTCCCGCGGCGCGCGCCGCGGCGGTCTTGCAGCGTTGGATCGCGGCGTGTTTTGGGTGCTCGCCTGCTGCGGGTGGCGCTTCGCCGGCGGCTTCGCCGCGACGAGGGCGGCGAGGAGCCATAAGCGTTGTGTTATATACATGTAAAATCTTCGCGGGTATTATCGCAGGAAGTCAAGGCGATCGTCGAAGGCGCCGCAGGTGCCGTGGCCGCTGCAGGCGTTGGTGCACTCAGGAGCGGCTGGGGCGGCCAGCCCGAGGGCGAGGGCGAGGAGGACGCTGTTCACAATCGAGTCGAGCGGTGTTGGGATGCACCAAGGACGCTATTTGAACGCACCGACGACGCCATGCCGCTGGAAATGGCGTGTGAAAGTTATTGAAATGAAACTGAGATTTCCTTGATCACGTCGTAGATCATCATAATACAATTGTACAAGACGCCTACGGCATCTTGCCCCTGCCGGGGGGGCTTGCCTGCGGCGCGGCGAGAGCGCGCCCTTCGGGCGCGCTCGCGCGAGCTGAGCCACTCATTCCCGTGTCAATGCTTCCCTCTGCACCGCTCGCGCGACGACAGCCATTTAATTTCCGTACGGCGGGGGAACCGGCACGCACAACTCACGCATATATATATGGATGATAGGTATAAAGTTGAAGGACGAACAGACTTACGAACAGGCGGGCGCGGGGACGATGCACTTGACGATGTCCGGCGGCGCGTCGGTCCGGCCGCGCTGGGACCATCGACGAAGCACAAGATAGATTAGCGCGGCGGGAGCTCGAGGGGCGCCGCGTCGACCATGGCCTCCTCGAGGAGGCGGGCCATGGACGCCTCGGCCTCGCGCTCGCGCTCCGCCTGGAGCTCGTCGTCGTCGATGCGCGGGCTCGACGGCGACGGCGGCGCCGTGGTGGCCGGGCGCTCCTTGTAGATGTAGACGGGCCAGTACTTGGTGACCCAGTGCGCGAGGTCCCAGCTGTGCTCCGTGACGACGTAGCCGTTCTCCGGCTCGGCGTCGTGCGGCGGCATGGCCGTCGGCGGCCGGTCGAGGCCGCCGCCGAACTTGGACGGGTGGCAGCTCAGGGGCACGCGGACGAAGTTGTGGAGCGCCCGCGTCTCGCTCTTCGCGGCGCGGAGCTCGTCGACGAGGAGCGACGCGTCGCGCCGCGCGTCCGCGACGTCGTCGCGCGCCTGGCCCAGGGCCCGCCGGAGCACGTCGAGCTCGACGGCCGGCGGCAGCGCGGCCGCCGCCGCGGGCAGGAGCCGGCGCGGCGGCGGCGCCGGCGCCGCCGCCGCGGCCCCGTCGGGGAAGCCCGGCACGCCCCGGAGGATCTCCGGGTCCACGCCGTCCGGGCAGGGATCGGCCTCGAAGAGCGTGCGCTCCCAGGACCGCGACGCCGCCGCGACGCACCGCTCCGCGAGGTCGGCCTCGCCGTGGTCGAGCGCGTGGCCGAGGAGGAAGAGCGCCTCGCCCGGGTCGACGGCGTCGCCGGGCCACCGCGCGCCGATGGCCCGCAGGAAGTCGCCCGGGTCCTCGAGGTCCGACGCGCGCGTCCGGTAGTACGACGCGACGCGGCGGCTAAAGGCCGCGCCGGCGCAGCACCGATCCTCGGAGCGGGCCACGAGGAGGAAGAGGTCCGGCGCGAGCTCCTCGAGGCTCGGCGCGTGCTCCATGTGCCGCGCGCAGACCTTGACCGCCGCCGCGCGGCACCGGTCCAGGCCGAAGCGGTCCGCCGCCGCGACGTACGCCGCGGCCGTCTCGGGCCGCAGGTCGCGCTGCACGAAGGCGACGAGGGCGTCGTAGAGGCTCCGCATGCCGAGGTAGCTCGCGAGGTGCAGGAGCGGCATGGCCGTCGCCGTGGAGACGTCGAGCGCGCCCCGCGGGTCGTACTGGTAGTCGAGCAGGGCTGGGACGCACGCGGCCGCCGCCGCGTCCAACCGCATCTCGCTCGCCGCCGTGCCGTCGGCCCAGCGGGCGAAGAGCTTGGCCCAGTAGGCCCCGGACCGCGGGCCCACGGCCAGCGTCTGCTTGTGGACGTGGTAGGTGCGCGTCTCCTCGCCGCCGCCGTCGGCCTCCCAGGTCACGACGACGTCCCAGTCGCTCAGGGACGTCGCCGGGTCCGTGCGCCAGCTCAACGGCTGGTAGCTGTGGTCCTCGCCGTCCTCGTAGGCGCCGAGGTCGTGGGGCTCCATGGCCAGTGTCGGTTACCCGCGTCGGGCTCCCATCATGACGGGAGTCAAGAAGGACGCGGTGCAACTTCGACATCTGATGCTTCCGCGGCGTTGGACTAGTTATTGAAGGGGGCGCTCGACTGCGTCCGGGCGTTGCACGTTACCTTGGACCCCCGCTAGGAGGACACGCGGTGGGCGTCGAGGCGCTGGCGGAGGGCGGCGATGCGGTCCTTCTCCGCGCCGCCGGCCGCCGGCGCCGCGCCGCCGGCGCGCGCGGCGGACGCGCAGCGGAGCCGGAGCGCGGCGAGGTCGCGGCCGCCGTCCGGCGACACGGGCGGCGGCGGCGGCGCGCCGCCGTCGCCGCCGCCGAGGAGGCGGACGAGGGCGACGAGGGGCCCGTCGTCGCGGGGCGCGAGGGCCGCGAGCGTCTCCGGCCCGAGCGCGTCGAGCGCGGCGACGACGACGGTCTTGGCCGCGTCGAGGCTCAGTTTGGGCGCGTCCGCGGGCACCGCGTCGAGCACGGCGGACGCCGCGCAGAGGCAGGGCTCGGCCTCGCCGCGGCGCAGCGCCGCGACGAAGGCGTCGTCGTCGCGGAGCGCGACCGTGAGGAGCTTCGCGAGGTGGCCCGCGCCGAGCCGGTCGAGCGCGTCGTCGCGGAACGCGTCGAGGATGGCGGCGACGGCGTCGGCGCGCCGCGCGTGGAGCGCCGCCGCCGCGGCGAGCGCGTCGAGCTGGTGCCGGAGCTTCCGCGGCGCGTCGGGT